TGACTTTTTTCATGCTTTCTTATTTATCATCTAGTAACTAATTAACTGTATCTGTGCGGAAATATATATATATATACATATAAGTTTTCACTTTCAAAATGTTCATACATAAAAATAATAAGGAAATCCGTATTTTTAGCCATACTTGCTTTGGTTCATTGTGCACGGTCAGTATCACGTGATGGTACGGTTCAACATCAAACTCAAAACAATAGCTTTGTTCTTTGGAGTTTCMAAGCCATTCCGTTCCATTAACTATGACTCTATGATTCTAGTTTTGAACAATATAAACAATATCAATAGTGGACGGAAGCTTTTTAGCTAGTAATTATTTCATTTTGTTCTTCCATTTTAATAAATTTCCATTTTTTTCTTTTCGATTATTTGAATTAAATTAGCGTTATGCTTGTTATAGAGTACGATCGGTACTATATATGGAACTTAAGGTGATTGATTAACCATATTATTAACTCTAGGACGGTTGAATCACTGTCGTAAGGAGCATCGCGCAGTCGCGTTGTTGTTGGTACAAACACAGGCAGCCCAAACAAGGTTCCTGTGTATGGTACTTAGTAAGGGAATGTATGGGAGTTATGATAAAGTCATGAAAATAGAATGTTTCACTCGACAATTTGCCTCAAAACTTGCTGCAGTTGTTGCCTTTACTTTGTTCAGTCCTCTGGCGAAGTTTCAGCGCGATTTGAGGCCGTTTAGTGCGTTTTTTTTTTCAAAATCTGCTCTTCTCAAGTACGGAACGGCCGTTAAAGAAGTAACGGTCAACGGCTATTCAAACCATTTGACMTTTGGAAGAAAACGGCTGCATCATCATATAACTGCGAAGGAACACGGACACAAGATAAGTAAACAAGTATAACGTTAATTTAATTCAAATAATTGACTAGAAAAAAAAMWRTAGACATCCAACCACGTTCGGTGTCCTAGTGCCTTTGGTTTCACTATCACTGCTGGTAAGGGGACAAAGTTTTACGAATTGCGAGAATTCGATCTACTTTNTTCTGCATTGTTTTTTCGCAGGGGAACTTCTACACCTGTTTTCCACTGAATTCCCTGGATATCTGTGCCAGAGTTATCGTGATGTCTATAACAGGGCTTTATTTGGAGGCAGGAATCTTAACGCTGATCGCCATTGTTGCACTAACAGGGAATGTCAGTCTATATCTTATCGTCTTCAGAAGTCGTTCTTTACAAAAAAATTCCAATTACTTTACGTTAAATCTGGCATTGGCTGATATACTAGTGTCGTTAGTAAACATGCCAGTCACTGTGTATACTATAATCCAAAACCAATGGACGCTGGGGGAAGTCGCCTGCCAAGCCCTTGGTTTTGTAAATATTCTATCTTTCATATCATCAGTACTGTCTTTAGCACTTATTGCAATCAACAGACTTTTCTTCGTAGTTTACTGGAAGGACTACAAGCGATATTTCAGGCCAAGACGAGTCAAGTTCTATATTTTTTTAACCTGGTTAATTGCACTGTTGTTGTCGATGCCACCGTTGCTCGGTTGGGCGTCGTTTGGATACGTCCCTGGCAAGTCYTACTGTTTCGTCATATGGCGCGAAAATGCCTCATTCGCATATTTTATGGTGTTAGTTTGTTTCTTTGGACCTTTGATTACGATGGGTTTTTGCTATTCGAGGATTCTTTGGTTTACAAAGAACGCAAAAAGAAAAATTCAAAATGAAATGTCCAAATCTACTAGAAATTGTATATTTAGGAACGTATCGCCGGAGGAATCGAGAATTACTAACACATTGCTGATTGTCCTGGGAGCGTTTATCGCTTGTTGGCTGCCATTTGCAATAACTATGTTCCTTGATATTTACTATCCCCATCGGCTACCACGATGGATAGATATGGGATCCTTGATGTTGGGATACATCAACAGTTTGTGCAATCCTATCATTTATTCAGTGAGGAACACGCAGTTCAGAAAAGCATTTATGGAGCTTTATGCTTTATGTGGAATAAAGTGGTTCAAAAGAAACCGAGCTGCTGTGGTTGTTTCTAGTGCGAGGCAAGAGACAGAAGAAAGCTCAGTTAATCGAAGACAGAGTAAATCGCTGGAAGTGGCATAATAATAATAATAATGATGATGATGATAATAATAATAATAATAATAATAATAATAATAATATTATAAATATATATATATTTCCCCCCTCTAAAATTGGTTTTAAGTGATTGTGTTATTAGTCCAGTCGTGCTGGTAGGTTACGAAATTACGCCCTATCTAGC